TGTGTTGGAGTTAGACTTCTAATAGCAAAAAGTTTGTGAATGGTGCACAGAAGTAGATCAAAGGAAAAATATGGCACTACCCCAGTGTCATGTCATTGTAATATTTAAAAAATTTGCAGGTGAATAATTCTCAGACACAACCCACAAAACTACTACTGCTTTACCTGCATTTCCATATTTATTAACATGATACAATGTGACAATATCTCAGGAATGTGCCAGAGATATAGAAAACCCTGTATTAAGTTGGGAAGGAAGGAGGAAATCTTTGATGACTCTCCGTTAAGGAGGATGGACCCTTCACTGGGAAAAATGGCTGCTGTACACTCACATTTAGTGAGCTTTGAAAAAGAGTAATGTCTTTTTTCCCTTCCTGCTCTGCTCATATAGGTTATTCTGGATTATTTTGAGCAGAAATGTAATAAAACATATGTTTTTGAGAATGCTCGTGAGCTACTACTGTAAACACAAGTTCACTGTTTATAAATGGGCTGTGCCAACATTGCCACACATGGTTTTTCAGGGTAGGGGTGTTCTGCCTGTCCTAATGAGTTTATCAAGAAATACAGAAAAACTGCTGTTAGTGTTCACTCATTGGCCTTTCCCCTTCCAGTGCTGATCACATACACACTTGTTCTAGTGGTCCTTTTTTTTTAATAATAAATGAAAACAACCAACAGAAAACACTTCATTAATGTGATTAATGTTCTGATTGATACACAGTAAACATGGGGCTAATAAAGATGTCTTGAAGTTTTGGGGAATTAGGTACAAATTGAGATGTTAATATGGTGTTCTCAAGTAACAGGAACCTGTGTTTCAATAAAAACTCTGCAGGAAGGAGAGTCCTTGCAAAATAAGTGATTGCCTTTCTACCTGAGGCTAGACTGTAGCTAGGAAAATGAACAGTGGATACTTGGTTCTAGTCCTTCAGAAGTCAATGTGACTTGTGTTTTTCGTTATCTTCTTATCTGCATTCAAAGAAAGACTTCAGAAAAAAAATTCAAATATTGAACATAAAAGAAATTTTTTCTTTTACACATGTTGTGACCTGGGTATCTACCCTGCTAATTTAAATGAAATGTGGACTTTGTTACTTACCTCTTACCATTTAATTACTAGCTTTCCTAAATACTGTAACTTTTTTCAAGTGATCTCCCCGCCCTTTTTCCATTTTCCCTGTTTTCCATTCTCCCTGTGATCTCTGTAAAAGGGATCAGTTAATGACACTTTCAAAATGTACAATGAAACAAAAAATAAAACCCTGCCTTAGAAATGTGAGGCATAAAGTCATTTGAGTAATGTCAGCTCTGTCATAGCACACATCTTGCATATTTAATGTTAAAACACAGCTGGAATATCTTTAGCCGCACATTTAACTGGGAACTGGGGCAGGAGACTGTAATTGTCATTATATTAAGGAAACCTTAACTTTAGATTTTGGGGGGTAATTCTTTCCAATATTCCAGTATAGGCTAAAAGTATTGAAAACTGAGTTCTGGTATAAAAATACAAAGAAAAATTCATTAACTTAAGACTATTGCGTTGCAGAGCCGTACTCCTTCAATTTTAGTTCACAATACATTAGGATATTTTGGATGAGCAAGTTCTTAACCCAAATATGTTGACAGGCATTCTTTAAATCAGGTGTGATGTTTTCCATAACCAAAAGTAATTTCAACTCAAAACTTTAAAATACAAGTATAACAATACTCCCAAAGTTGTTCCATTAAAGTGAGGAATTTATGTTGCAAATTTACAGGCATATGTACTGCTACTAAAAGTGAACATCCTTTTCCTGTCAGAGATAGAAATGACACTCCTTTATGTTTTGTGTTTTTACGCAGTGGGTATATGTATGCATCTCCTTTATGCTTTTCCATAGCATCTATGTGGCCATAAAGGCAGTCCTGTCACAGAGTGGATACTGCTGAATGTTTCTGCTGTGTTAATTTTCAACCAGACACCTGACTGAATTGTTTGTGTGGCCAAAGCAGCACTATGCTATAATTGAGAAATAATGCTGCGCAAGGCAGGCAGGCATATCAGCTGTATCAGATACTTACGTTGGTGTATGCCACTTGTGAAGCCATGACCTAAACAGCAGTCCTGCCATTTATGTGCATGTTTATTATGCTTTGGCAACCTAACTTGCATTGCTATTACTAGAAAGATTTACTAGCAATGGTGAAACAAATACCTAGCTTAAATATGATTTGACTGTATGTCCTGGCCTTGTTAGTTTGTGGCATTGAATAGCTTACAATTGTGGTCAGGTATTTTTGCTACCTGTCACCTTTCTTTGTGTGAAATGAAAAACGTTGTTAGCTTAGCACAAGCTGCTGGGTTGCACATCTTTCCTCCCATTGAGAAGTTGTCTTGGTTCCGTGTACAGGAGAGGAGAGAGCCTGTGTTTGTGCCTGAGTATAGTTTTGGGGTGGCTTTGATGGGGAGGGGATGTGGATAGTTGTTTTCTTGGGCCATTAGGAGAGAAACAGAATAGATTGTTACAAGTTTTGAAGGATTCTGTAATTATTAAATTATTTCATTAAGTAATCAAAATAGATAGTTGTTCCTCCTGCTTCAGTGAAACATCATTTGTCACAACAGCACTGATGCAACTAAGCACTAACTATAAAGAAAAACTTGAATAAAAATCCTTGACTACTGTGTGCTTTCAGAAATTTGTAATTCTTACTTCCTTTTTCTCTGTGCATTTTCAGTAAGTAGATTAAGACCTCTCTTTATAATTTGTTGCCAATTGAAACAGGTTCTTATTTTTATTATTGTAATTTTGGGTTTTTGTTTAAAATTAAATTTCATTTTAAATTTCATTTAAATTTAAACTGGCTTTATTAAACTCTAGTAAAGTATAAGAAATCCTGATCCCTGAACCCACATTAAAATTGAGTGGGAAATGAAAAGTAATTGGTAGGTGTTAAAGTAGTAAATCCTCAAAATCTTTTTTTGGTCTACATATTTATTTATTTTTAAAAGCATTTTAGAGAATAATGGGTTGTAAACTTGGAGATCGACAAAGATATTGAGGCTGTGTTGGCGCAGGTATATGAGAGGCCCCCAGCTGATTCCTTGTTGCTTGCTCTCTTGTTTCTGCCTGTGCAAAATTGTGCTGCTTGACTTTAGTGAAGAGCAAAACCAAATGTGCTGTCAAGCTTTGTACAGCAATAAAGGTTTATGGTTGGGTTAATGAGCAGCTTTTTTAAACCATAAATTACAGTTTCTCCGAATGTATGATAAAATTTTAAAAAAGCCTTTTGCTCTTGCTGATTTCATAATTTACAGGTGCATAGCATCACTTTTAGAAACATACAAGTATTTAAAGCCTTGTTTTTCAGTAGTAGTTTATTTCTACAGATAGATATGGTTAATGTTAAGGAAGAATATTTTAGAGTTCTAGGTGTGTTTTACATTTAAATGATTCTAGGTATCATGGCACTGTTTGTTTTTAGTAGAATGCTAATCTGATTTAACCTTGCTAAGCTATATGACACCATCTTTACGGTGAATAAAAAGCCATAGTTCCCTGTAGACTAATAAAAACCTATGTTCCTAGGTAATTGAGTTCCCAGATAATATTTCAAGCTCACACTATTTCTGCTTGTGTCAGCTTGCTGGTTCATTCTATTGAAAAGAATTATGTTTCGCACAAGGCAGCCTATTGTGCTGTCTAGCTGATTTTTGGGGGGGGGGGGTGTCACAGGTGTGAGGGAGCAAAAGTTAAGTGAGACTACATAAGTAGCATAGGGAATACCCTTTGGCAGTTAATAGGAACATTAGTTATTTACTGAAAAGTTGAAAACTTAAACTCTGGATTTCAGGACAGCTGAATCTTGACTTTTACAAGAAAAGCAACCATCTAAACACATGGTAAAGGAACCACAAATTACATTCATGCAAGAAAGCAATGCAGAACTAAGTGTCTGTGGCATGCTGAGTGTTGTTGTGATGGGCTGTGCTACTTTTGATCTGTGAAAAATCTCTAAGGAGATTGAATATTTCGGAGGGCGTTTGTTTATTCAATATGTTTCTTTATTGCTCTAGAGATTTTGAAGTAGTTATGATGCTTTTAGATGTTAGCCACAATGAACATCCACAACTGAAGATTTATAAAAGCTGAAACCTGCATATGGCATCTTAAAAAGAGTGGTTGCTTGTTTAGCTGCGTATTTCAAATTCACTGTCAACAGAAGTATCAATAATCTCCAGAAATTAAAAAATAGTATTGCTAGTCTTACAATATGCACTTTTTTTAGCATCAGCAAATATAATAGATTTAAATTATCTGGATTTTTAATGCATTTTCAGTTGTAACAAAAATAGATTACTTAAAAGAGCATCAAAGAAGAGAACACTTGTTTGCTTTATGTGTCTTAGAATACTTAAAGTGAGGAGAAATACAGCCTGGGTTTAGTAAAGATAAAGGGAGTATTCAAGCTACTTACTTACTGCAAATGGATTTAATAGTTTAAAATATTCCAAACCAATGCACATAGTGTGGAATCCTATTTATAGGATTTGTTTCCCCTACTTTCTGTCTGCTGTTAAATTCTGATATTTATCAGTGTGCTATTTATGTTTTATGTTGATCAACCAAAAATCTATTGGGTGTACTCAATTGTACACTCTTGTTGAAAATGTATTGTCCAAATCTGTGACTGTGAATACATGATATGCTAAAAATATTTGCTAGTAATGCACAAGGCTACTTACAATATGGAAGAACAGAGAAATGCCAAATATGTCTATACAAAATACATACCTCCAGTATGTTCTTTTGGAGATAATGACAGTTGTATTTCTAAATGTTAGTTGTCTTAAAAAATGAGTCTTCATCATGACTAAGAAGTAGTTGAGGATTTATACGTGGGTAAATCAGCATTTCAGTTCATGTTTTAAAGCATGGTAGCCTCCAAATTAAATCCACTAAAACTGGCCTGAAGTTAATGTTAACTGGAGTTCTGTGTGTTGTGTCCCCCTAGGAGGAACAGGCGGCTAAACTCAAAGCTGAGAAGATTAGGGTTGCATTAGAGAAGATTAAAGAGGCACAAGTGAAAAAGGTAAATTATTTATACTCGTTCATAAGATCTTTATTTTATACTTACTCACCTGGCAAATGCAGACAAAATTCTTTTAATTTGTTTCTATTAACCTTAAGTTGCCCTAAATAAAATAGGAACACTCTAGTCTTCCGGTCTTGAGCGATAATGTACTTTCTCATTTAGACGGGATGTAACAAAGAAAATCATAGCATGTGGAAAAACATGTTTTTCTTAAGGAATAGCTTATTTTGCAGCTAGTGCAAATTGACTTTGCCAACTTCCACCCAGAGCTGAAATGAAGGTCCAGCCTCCTGAGACTGTCTTTGTGTATTAAGCAGTCAGACATTTAAAATTTTTGTCTGTTTTCTCTACAGACCCCTTCCCATTATGCATAGCAGGATTTTCCAGTGATAAATGGAATACAAGTACTCCAGATTACAGACAGGGATTACTAATTGGAGGAAGTCTACCAATATTACTTGATGCACTATCAAAGAATATAAAGTGTTCCCTTGAAATTTAGCATTCTTATTTTACATTTGGAGTGTCTCAGTAGCTTAAAATGCCGTTTGCATTTACTGTTTATTTATCAAAAGCTGAAAAACTGTCCTGGTTGGAAGATGAGAATTAACAAGCCACCCAGTGTATTACATCTAGTATGCTTTAACTTTTCCAGCTGAACAAGGTGTAAGAAAGGAACCAAAGAGCATAATGATTGCCAAGAAGGATCTATTCCCTGAAGTTTTTTGATTGCTTAAAAATTGGCTGCATTTTTCTTTCTGGACAGTGACCTCTTTAAAGTGCCTGTGAAAAGCCATTGTGTTTTAAAAGCAGATTTCTTTTGCACTAATGCTTCGTACTCCCCAGAAGAAGGTTATTTAGTATAGGTATTTTGTTTACATAATCAGCATTTCTAGAAAATATGGAGGAAGTGGGCAGAAAGCTTGAATTGCAGATCTAAAAAATTCTCATCCTATGTAAGGTTGTACAGAACTCTGTATCTATGGTTGTTCCACCAAATATGTGAGAAAAATTGTCACAGAGACGCTTTATTAATCAGAACAGGACATTCTGGCAGGAGGGATTTTTTTCCTCCTTAACACACAACTAAAGCACAGTGTTGTTGTATTGGGAAGACCTTTATATTTACTCTATTATACTGAAGGAGAACAGTATCTGGTTAAGTGTCTGTGATACAGATATCTAACCACCATTTATGGCTTTTTACATTTTGAGGGAATGTTTTGATTGTACTTAATATTTTATGCTATTTTAATGAAAACTTAGAAAAAGAAACAAGATCTTAAAAAATATGGTTTTATTTGAGATGTGGGAAGTTAATCCTCCTTGCCTTACTAATTTTCTGCTTAATAGTTGGTGATCAGAGTCCATATGTCTGATGACAGCTCAAAAACTATGATGGTGGATGAGAGGCAGACAGTGAGACAAGTGTTAGACAATCTGATGGACAAATCTCATTGTGGTTACAGTTTAGACTGGTCATTGGTGGAAACCATCTCTGAATTGCAAATGGGTAAGTAATAATTATAATCACTTCTAATTCTTATTTACTGATGTTATACTTGTCTGTATCTATGGGCTCAGAATGATGTAAATTCTTGTCTTCGTAGTGTTCATCCCATTCATTCATGTAGTAAATGTTCATGCAATAAAGCTCATGAATGACATTTTTTCAGAATGATCTGGGAATGTTTTCTTTTCATATTAAAAACACAGCTAAATTCAGAGGTGTGATATAGGAATTTTACTAATGTCTAGTCACTGAGCCTCTTGGTTTTGATGCATTCCTCACAGAAGAAAGAGGTAAGGGATAAATCTACATTATTTTTCTGTTAAATATTTTAGTGCAGTTGGCAATATGGTTTTAAGGGCTGTTAAAGCTCCTTTGCACTGCATTGCACATACCGCAATATAAGTTGTTCATTTAGGCAAGCGATATAGTATCTGAATGGAAAAGGAGGGGGAGAATGGGAGAAAAACAATTTTATTAATCGGTGTTATCAAAGAAGAATTACATCAAAGAACTGTTAAGCACCTTACCTGTTGACTAAAGAAGAGCCCAGAACTGAACTCGGATATCTTGATTTCAAATTAAAATGCAAATTAGTATTTCCTCCCTTTTGGTGAAACCTTTTCTATTTCAGGCAATGTAGCGTGTTAACTTTGCTTATTGTTAGACAAAAAAGGTGTTGTAGGGTGACAAAGTGTCCTTTGAATCTTCTACCTTTCATATGAAAAATAACACCTTACTGGGCTCAAGACCTTAAAATTTCAGTAAATGAAATCTTTGAAGTTGTCCAGTTTTGAAACCAGAAAGAATTTGCACAAATTCTATGTAAATCCGAATGAGGTATATAAAAATAAAAGCTTTAATCCTGTAACATTTTACCAATGAGAATACTATGAATAAATAACCTTATTAGTTCTGCAATAGTTTTATGTTTCTATCATTGAAAAATCTCTGAATGTGTAGATAGGAGTATCCTGGTCTCAAGGCTTAACCAGGGGTCTTTCCCATCCTAGATTTCCTTTCATAAGATCCTTCCATTCACTGTGCAGCCTGGAAGCCATAAAGGAAAAAAATGTTGGAAAAATATTTTCAACTTCTGTTAGAAACAAAGAGAAAGGCTTCAAACAGAAAGATAAACTGGTATTTATCCAAATTAACAGTGTGACTGAATTAAGATTATTTATTTTATTATTATTATTATTATTAACAAATCTCTCTTTGGGTGTTTTGCAAGTATATGCATGCCCTACTGTATGGCCTCAGTGACATACTGGGAATGACAGAATTTGACTGCTGTATTGAAAGAGTTTCAAGCTAAAGAACATCATCTATTAAAATTATAGAATTTTAAATTCAGACTACAACATGATAAACCTAAGAATGATGCAAGAGGATAGAATTCAGTTTCCTCTTTCATTTTTCAGTTTGGCTTTTCTTGATCTGTGGTAAGGCAACTGTTAGGTAGTTTTTCATAAATTTCAATTTATTTTTTTTTTTTTTAAGAAATCCAAACTGCAGCCTGATTCCTATATTTTATATTGGAACTTGAAAAGCAGTTGGAAACATTATTACAACAAAGCTCTCAGCCTATGTACTATTGTATATTGTATTGTGTTGTGCAAATTTGCCAGTGGTTCGTCTTTTGAAACCTCTTTTTCTGGCAATGCCTGTGTGAGAGGAACTCACTCCTTTGTTATCCTTTAGCAAGACAGAGAAGACCTACGTAACTTCACAATGTGTTTTACTGTGGTGTCTTGTCAGTTGATTGCTCATTGATTGCACAGTTCAATAAAATGCAGTGAAAGCTTTAAGCTAACTGTGGAGAAAGACATGAGGCCTGTGGAGTTCTGATTATCTTTGCATTTTATGTGGTCTGCTTCAAATGCATGTGCTTAACTGGTTTTTGAGGAGTCTTTGATTTTAGGTACACGTACTTCAAGTAGAAGGCCACCTGTTACTATCTGATGGTTTAACTTTAGCTTTATGTACTTTCAGAAGAGCTCAGTGATATTATTTCCAGAATGCAGAATGAAATGTTTTTCCCAGTTTTACCCTGCAAGTTTGTGACAGAAACAACTCTGGAAGGTTTCTTTTGGTTGGGACAAGGGTTGTATTAATTTTTTAGTTAGTGCAGACTACATCTATGAAATATCTGTGAGTTACAATGTTTTAATTTTAGAGTATGTTTAATAATAGCAACATTGTATTATATGCAGCTTTATATACTATAGGTACATATATACTCAATGTTCTTATAATAACAGTTGATACATTTTGGAAGCTATCCAGTTTCAGTAATGAGGCTGCAGTGTGATTTAAGCTTTCACAGTCCTCAGAAGTTTCTTTGTTTTGTTCTTCTCTTAGGTAACTCTTTTTTTACTTTCTTGGAAGACAATATTGCTGTGTTACTGATAGAACTTGATGGAATTTAAGAGTTGAAACTTGAAAGCTTCTTAGAAAGATCTCACTGAGACTTCAGTAATGTTGTGTTGTCATCTCAAACCTTGATCACTTTCCTACAGATGACATTTTGTTGCATTCACTCTGCTTAGTATTCTTAATTACCAAAGATGTTGAGATGTCATCTGTCATCTCAGTCTTCATTAGTAATAACTCCTAGGTCTGGATGTGATCAGTGCCATATACCCTCTGTAAAAATGTGGTATAATTGATTTTGTGGGGAAAAAAAAAAACATGTTCTGCTTTCAGATGCAGTTACTGCCAAGAAAGTCCCAAAGAATTCTGAAAGAAATAATTTGCTGAAATTATTGAATGAAAAACTGTGTGGCCTATGCAAAGAGGGAACAAATTACAGAAAGCAAGATTCTACTTAACTGTCTTTGAAAGGAGGAGAAAGGTGGTCTAGTGGTTTCCCAAAGATGTATTCTTCCTTATTTATTTTAGAATAGGGGTTTTCAGATACTCCTCTGCCATTTCAGTAAATTTTTCTCTTTTTTTCTACCTTTCTTCTCTTTTGCCTATTTTCAGCATCATGTACCTAGTGATAACTATCTCAACAAAGAGTCAAAGCTCAGAGTTCTCGGAAGCCATTGCTGGTACATAATTTATTCAGCAAGATAAATTATAAGAAACAGACAGTGTCAGTTTTCAGACTATTTCTACCATATGCCCACTAACTATAAATATTCTGCATTTCAGGAGCATTTTGTTTTCCCTCTTATCATTGTCTGTTACCTTTTTTGATACTTTACAAGTGAGGTAGTGATTGGGCATGTAGAAACAAATTTTGTGCTGAAAAAGCTGCCTAATAATAAATTCCTCCAGGGATTGTGTGGATTAGAGTATATATAAATGTGATAACCTTCTTATTTGTACTCATGACATGTGAAATGTCGTCATTTGAGTCTGCTGTGTTAATGTGGGATGGTAGGCTTTGTCAGGTGAAAAAAAGGAAAACACTTCATATATTGATGGAACTATAAGCTTGAAGAGACAGAAGTGAGGGTGTTGAGTGAGTGTATGTGTGAAATTGAACCAGGTACATCTGAAATTTGACTAAATTCTTTTAGTTTCTTAGTGTAAACTTATTCCTCATTTTAGTAGACCTTGAACTCTATTTTCTCTACATATATACCCTGTCTCCCGGATAGGACTACAGACTAGTTTCTATCACAAAATGTGACAGATTCAAATGTATTTGCTATCTTGTTATTGCTGCAGAAAGGATCTTTGAAGATCATGAAAATTTAGTTGAAAATCTTCTGAACTGGACAAGAGATAGTCAAAACAAACTAATGTTTGTGGAACGTATAGAGAAATACGCACTTTTCAAGAATCCCCAGGTAAGATTCATGTTAAATGCGTGTTTGTGTGCACACATGCATGCCTCATTGCAGTTTCTCTGCTTTTTTTGGTAGCATTCATTTCCATACTTTTGTTTTGATACTTGTGTATGTATTAAAATGCCAGGCAACTTTACATTTTGGCACCATGTACCCATCCACATTGTGGTTGGCACAAAAGTCCCTAGCAGAAAACCATGAGCTGAAGCAATCTCTTTGCTAAGGTGTTCGTGGGTAATTTTAATGGAGATGAAGGCAAGCAGTTTCATGGCATTTACACCAATACTTGGTGCTGTTCAAATGTGTAAATATGCAAGAAAGGTGTTGACAGATACTGCTAATAGAAATGCCTCTCCACTGTGCATTCTTACGTTGCTGGCAGGAAGGGGAAGAGAAAATCAAAGAGAACAGCTACTCAGTAGTCAAATGGCAATTGAAGAGAAGAGAGTATGGGTCCCTCGCTGTGGAAGCTGGGACCTGCCTCTGTTCACCTGTTTTTCATGTTCCCTGGCTAGGAAACCAAAGGCCCCTCTTCTCTCTCAAATGGCCTCAAAGGGCTCTCTTCTATCAAATGGTAGCTACAGATTTGATACCCAGTTCTATCTACAGCAGCAGTTCAGTATCATAAGGGAGTGGAGGAAAAGAAACAGAAAAGCAGAAGATAGCTCTTTGAAGAATTTGAATTGAAAAGAACTGGATATAATACCACTTGATCTCTCTCTTAACTCTTACCTAATGTATTCCCTTTTGCAGTCATAGATTATTTTTGTATTTGTATGGTACCTATGTGGTAATTTCTTGTATTTAATCTGAGTATCAGTTTTGCATGCTCATCCTTTGGGACATCATCAGTGTACTGGATTTTAAAATTTTTTTTTTTTAAAGCAAGAATTGAAAACCAGGTCTTACTCAAGTGCTTTTTGATGAAGCAGCAAAACTCTAAATTCTTTTTAAAAGCATGTAGTTGATACATTTACTATCAATACGTACAGTAGGCACTGTCAACAAGAATGAGGTACCAGCATAAACCCAATATTTCTCCATGGTTTAAAATACTGAACTGGCTAAAGTTTGTGAATATTGTTTTTTTCCACTATAAGAGCTAGGGGTTAGGAAGAGAAAGATCTTCATTGTGCTAGTCCTTTCCAAGCTGAAGAAGAGTACAAAACTTCACAGTACATATGCATAGTTAGGTTCCTCTTAAGAAGACAAGGAGTATTTAGTAATTCTTCATGAAAAACAAATATTTTTATTCAGCAAAACTATCAGGGCAAGGTGGAAAGAAGTACATTGCCAGCTGTCGACCAACACCCCCAGGTCCTTTTCCACCAGGCAGCTTTCCAGCCACTGTTCTCCAAGCCTGTAGTGTTGCATGGGGCCATTTTGACCCAAGGCCAGGACCTGGCACTTAGCCTTGTAGAATCTCATACAGTTGGCCTCGGCCCATCGATCCAGCCTGTCCAGATCCCTCTGTAGAGCCTTCCTACGCTCAAGCAGATCAACACTCCTGCCCAATTTGGTGTTGTCTGCAAACTTACTGAGGGTGCACTCAATTCTCTCATCCAGATCACTGGTAGATATTAAACAGAACTAGCCCCAGTACTGAGCACTGGGGAACACCACTTGTGACTGGCTGCCAACTGGATTTAACTCCATTCACCACAACTCTTTAGGCCCAGCCATTCTGTCAGGTTTTTTTACCCAGTGAAGGGTATGCCTGTCCAAGCCATGAGCAGCCAGTTTCTCCAGGAGAGTGCTGTGGGAGATAGTGTCAAAGGCTTTACTAAAGCCTAGGTAGACAACATCCACAGCCTTTCCCTCATCCACAGTTTTGTTCAGTTAATGTATTGTTCTTACATAATAGATGGGTTTTTTTCTTACTGTGTCAGAAAGGTAAACGAGAAATGTTATGGGCCTTGATTTCAGAATGCCTGTAGAAATATTAAGCTTTCTCTTGTTACAGAACTATCTTCTGGGGAAGAAAGAAACCTCTGAGATGGCAGACAGAAATAAAGAGGTGCTGCTAGAGGTAAGACTGCGAAAACAAAAAGGGCAGAGCGGTCATTTCAGAGCTTGAAGCTAAACTCTAAAAGGTTGTGGTGATTGAAGTTGATGGATGGACCTGTATGTAATTCTGGAACAACTGTGAATGGAATGTGCTACATTTGAAATAAATGTCTATTTTAATGTTACCCTGTCTCAGATGTGATCAGTTAATAAAAATGTGTCTTAATTTTATTTAATAACTGAAATACAATACACAGTGATAATTGAAATGAAGTTACCTGTAACTATGGCTAAAAATACTTGAAATTTACAGAACTGTCACCTTTTTTTTTTTGACCTGTGGTGGTAGTGATTTTTTTTTACTAGTACTCTCCAAATTGTTACTCTCTACAAAATTCTGTAGCATTGGTTCAGTGACTGCTTTATATTAATATTTTAAATTTTGTTACTAAGCAAAGTAGTTAAAAATTGTTTCAATTACATTTTAAAATAACCAAATATTAAATTAAAAAATAAGTGACAGAAAAGGAAGTCAATTATTAATGAACACATTAAATAGTTTACAGGACTAAGGACAAAAAAAAAATGTGTGGAGCAAATAAAGCAAAGAGTAAACATAGCCTCCATAAACTGAAAACTGAATGGTTTTGTGGCATTTTTGTAGAGACATACACATGCTTGAAGTGTCATAGCTTCCACTTGATGTCCAGAATAATGATTATGATTTCAGTAGTTACACAAAAGTAAATATTTTGGGTATTTAATTTTGGATTATACTTAATACAATTTAACTTATGAGTAGCATATACATGCTCTTAGTATATTGTTAATACGGATTTTAATAAGTGGTCATGTGAATGCTGTGGATCAAAAAGATGCTTGAAGCCATGACATGCTGAAGGTTGTAATTCTATCAAATTCTTTCAGTCTTCTAGGATTAATCGTAAATCTCTGTGCGCCATATAATCTGGAGTGTATTTAAAGTGTTTGTTTCCCTCTGTTATCTCTTTATAAATAGAACCTTAACAGAACTTGTAGTGTTGGCAGTTAGTAGCAACAAAGTACTCATGGAATTAATTATAGCTGTATCTGATGGATATATAATTAGGTTTTGTGTATACTTATGGGGCTAGATCTATAAGGTGACTTCATGACTTTAGTAAGGCCACTGGTGCATCTATTACTGATAAGCAATTGTTAGAAAATCTTTACAGTGGCTGCTAATATTTTCTTTGTTGTTCTTGCACTGAGAAAATGCTAAGATCCCCTATTGTGTTTGTCTGAATTACCTTATAGCTTCTACAATTAATCTGTAATTTGTATCACTGCATGGAAAAAAGAGCTGTCCCTGTTACATATGCATTCCTTAGATAAAGAATTTCAGAATTTCAGTAATGAAAATCAAACCACTGCATGCTGTATGTTCTTCCCAATCCACTGTGTTTATCATCAGGAATGTTTCTGTGGAAGTTCTGTAACCGTGCCAGAGATTGAGGGAGTTTTGTGGCTGAAAGAGGATGGTAAGAAGTCTTGGAAGAAACGTTACTTTCTTCTTCGAGCTTCTGGAATCTACTATGTCCCTAAAGGGAAGGCAAAGGTATGCTACTTCAAAGCAATTTCCCTGAATTGTTTATCGCTGGTAAATCGTGCACACGGGTCAGCCTTAAATTTTGACTTAGCTGTGCCTTGCTTAGTGCCACATCCCTTAATTAAAAGTGCAACTTTACATGGAAGTACTATGTAAATTACCATGGTGGCACTTGATGTGAAGAGTGTACTCCCAAATTTAAAAATACAAGAGGACAAGGGTCTGTGCTTTGAGTGAGCTTGGGGTTAGGTGTTCAGAAACACTTGAGTAAAAATGACTGGTGGAGTTAAGAGGCTGTTTTTTTCAAGCAGAATTCAGATGAAGGACCAAATTGCACTGCAAATGCCAATCATAAAATATCAGACCAACTCCGCAATGAGTCTGCATAATTTCATTGGTTTTAGTTGATATAAATGGGATTCTTTTCAGACCAGTTTGTGCTGTTTTTTTGAAACTGGTAAATATAATACACAGCAGTAAGTGACACTGAAGAAATTGTATCAATAATGAAAAATAAATAGAAAGCTGCTACAAATGCATTATAGCTTCAAGGCTGAACTACTGTGAGTTCAAGTTGTCCATGAATCTGTCAGTCTTGATAGCAGCAACTGATCCCCAGTGCAGGAAGTCCACTTTCCACACAAATGGCAATGAACAGGAAATCTCTGTCAACGCATCAGCTCCCTTTAGAGCTGAATCTATCTTGGATGTTCTTTCCACAGCCTTTGGCTTCATTAAAACAATCTGTATGCAAGATAGCCTGTTGAAATTCTGTGCCCTGCAGTCACTGCCAAACATCATTAGAATTTTACTCATGGTCACACTGGAATTTGGATGCCTTCATTATTACCAAGATGAAATGTAACCAACAGCTGTTAAAAAGTTCCTGGTCAACGAATCCTATTTACTTTCTCCTGATACCATCTCTGAATAAACAGAAGTAGTTTGATGTAAAATGTTGTCAAAAGGCAAGATGCAGACAAAACACAAAAAACCAGACTGAATTTGGAAAAGGGCATCCTGGTTAAAAATGAATGTCTGAAGCAAGACTTTGCATGGCTGTATCTCCTTCTTGTATTGGTAGTTTTCGAATCAAATCGAAACTAATATTTGACCTTAACTAGACCTTATATTGGTATCGGATCTTAACACTAAGGTGATTTTGTCAGTGTGTGTGGTTTTCTTATAAAGATGTTTTGTAAATGATTAAATTATTATTTTTGTATTTAATAGGTCTCACGGGATCTCGTGTGCTTTCTACAGCTAGATCATGTCAATGTTTACTACGGACAGGACTATCGGAACAAATATAAAGCACCCACAGACTATTGTTTAGTGCTAAAGGTAACTTGTCAATTACTTTGAAAATTCTCCTACTGAAAAGACCAATTAAAGAGCTTGAAACATTTCCACACTAATCTTAGTCCCTCTTAACTACACTTCTTAATTGTGAGCAACAGCTGATTAAGACAGCATTAATCTTGGAAAAGATTATAATTTAGAATACACTTCCTATACTAGTATAACAATTGGAAAACTATGCCTGTCAGTTTTCAGTGTGAATCTCTAAATTATCTTCATTCCGCACATGAGGAATCTAAATTGACGTAAGTTACAATGACAATGAGAAAGCTATGTTTATCTACATTTTCTGTGGAGTTGTAATGAGCCTCCTTGACAGAAATACAGTTTAAAAAAAAAAAAAAAAAAGAGAGAGAGAGAGAAAATGCCATGTGGGGAGTAGAGCAGACGGAAGAAATTACTATGAATCACTTTCTTCCCCATTAAGATGACAGATTTTCTCTACCTGCCAGAAGATCCATGTGGATTGCAAGGTGGGGTGGAGATCAGAGAGAGCAGAGGAAGAATGACTTTACTGGATTCATGTAGCACCCTAGGCTTCTCTGACAGTGGCCTGCCTTTATAAGCTTCTTAGGGAAAAATTAGACGTACAGGATGGTCTTGCAGAGATACTTCCACAGAATACTTTTTCAGCCTTTAGAAATTTAGGGAGCCAGGCAGTGGATCTTGGTTGTTTAATAGCCCTAGGTGCAGTCTTACTCTTTGAGTATGATGTCTCTTGGGATTACAAGAAACTTTGAGAATGCTGCAGCAGTTGGTTTTTTTACTTGCTCTTTACTTTTTACTTTATGTTCTTTTACTTGTTCTGAACCATCAGTTGCTTTCCATTTCATTTTCCTCTAGTTCTTTTATAGGAAGTGAACAGTTAGTGCACAATTGTTGCCTGTTCTCCATGCTCCTCATGGCTTTGTAACCGTTTTCATATTGCCCTGAATTGTCTTACTTCCAGACTGATGAGTCTCAGTCTATTTAATTGTTCATCATGCTCTCAAACATAACACTAAACTCTTTTTTTTTTTTTTTTTTCCTTTTGGCAACTCTATACCTTACAGCAGTTCAAGTTCAGTGAGATAATACCCCTTGAAACACTAACTTCAGGGACTTGCCATCTTCTCAAAATGTAGGTCAATAATTGTGCAGAAATTGATATTAGAGAGTCAAGTCTATCCATGTTGCCCAACCTGAGGGAAAGGGAGTGCTGTAAAGGAAGAAACTTCTGAGTATAAAGGACAGGTAGAAAACAAATGTTACAAAAGCAGTGACCTGGTCTTAAACTGATATTTAATACCTTGAGTACTTGAAGTTATTTTAAATTGCATCAACTCATCTCCCAGTCTCTCTTGACTCCTGCAGTGTTCAAAATTATGTCAGTTCCTGCAAGATAGCTAGCTACAGTGCTATTTTAAAACAGGTTTTCACAGTATGTTCACAAGAAGTTAAGTGCCTTCATGGATGTGAAAATGGTGCAAGTAACAAGATTTAGTTATAGTTGCACTTACAGTTTTCCTTTGACCTCTTTGTAGCTCATGTGGTGTTGCATATGTCAGTACATTAGAATGTTTTATGTACTTGGAGTGTGTGGCTGCCTGTCCACTGTATGAAAAAAGGATTTCATCTTCCAATAGACAGGGCAACATGCATTTGGGCCCACTGAGAGGTAGCCACTGAATATCAAATATGGGACATGATATTAAGGGAGAAGGCATACAGCTGAAACTGGAACTATTTTCCACATTCTTATAGGTCATTGGCACAGTCAGTTGAATGCAATTAAAACAAAAAAGTTAGTGTTTGTAAGTATTTATAAATTCCTTGAAATAAATTGATTTTTTCTGTTTACACGTGTCACTTTCCACATCATTTGGACAGGTTATAATAGTGAATATATTTCACTAGATCAGTTAAATAGTGAATTATTTTTTCAGACTTGTTGACCACACAGAGTAAATCAGACTAAGTCTTATCTAAGTATTGCCATTCCAAGCATAAATGAAGACGTGAAAATGTTAAAGTCAAATTTTAATGTGTCTAAATTTTCCCTTTATTTAAGTAAATTAATGGAGTAGAGTTAATCAGGTAACTTAGACAAAGTGAAACTATATTTTCAGTGTGAAACTGATGAATCGCCAAATTACTGTATAAGCAGGATTGAGTCCTGCCTTCGTCAATTCTTAAAATGTTATAAATGATGTTTTATATTAGTACCAACGTATAGAAGCCATAGAGGTTTTTTTAATAGAAACTCCGTTTTGTGCCACAAAGATTCACTAAGCTGGGAAATACCTCCACAACATGAACATGTTTTTGGAGAGGTGAATGGCAAATACAAACAAAGGCCGATTCTCACTGAAGTCCAGAATGGATATGTCTTTATGTGTTTGCTTCCTTTGTTTATCTTGAACCTTATTGTGCAAGACAGGTGCTGTGTTAAATTGTTAAACATAACATTTGTATGCTTGTATATAATATTAGCTCCTTGGTCCTAAACGTTAGATTTCTGAGAGGTTCTTTTGTTTCTATATAGCCACGTTTTTGAACAAGTCCAGGAAAAAGATGGCTTGTTAATAAAGTAATTGTTCGCGCTTCTGTAGACTCTTCTTTGTTATACAACATGTATGTGAAAGAGGCTGGCAGTGAAAAATGAAAAGTTATCTAATGTCATAATTCAGTTATTTATATTGTGTTGGTGGAGATAAACATGTTCATGTTCATTTTGAAATAATTATGTTTGGAAGACCACAGCAGAAAATATTCTGAAAGAGATCAAAAGTTTTTTGATACATGTTTCAGATGGTCTTCCATAAAACTTAAATACAATCATCAAGCAAAACTGTGTCACTGAACTGTAAGATAACAGAGGAAATTATAAGAAATTGAGTAGGGTTGCCCCAGCAGCTATGACACATGTAACTTCTACAGCATGGACAGGAAACAACGGAATAATCCATCCAGAATGATTTCCAGTGTCTAATTTTTTAAAAATATACATTTCTTGACTGCTGAATTGATAAATGTAGCACCTTTTCTTTTTTATACATGCATGTGGGAGCAGCAGGTATTTTGGATGATAGCCCTGCATCAGTAGGGTGGGGGGACCTTGAAGGCTTTACAAGCTGAAAATGGAATCGTGCTTAACAGCATGTCATTTGAGGAGTGTCTCACTCAAGCCATGCAAAAGCAGGGAAGACCAGCGTGTCTCTGTGTTCCTCCAGTTTGTTTTGGTGTGAGAAGAAGGTGAAATATCAGTTGTCTCCCTCAGGTGGTGAGTTAGTTCAGAGACCAGTGAAAGGAGACAACTCTCTACACTTTTGCAGCCTCTTGCTTGTGTTTAGAAAAGGTGTTTGCAAGCTGACACTGTTCTTATCACTTGGTTTGAGAGTATAAAGATTTCTTCCTAAGAGCCTTACAGATACAGAAGACTGTTGGTAGGTAGAAGGTGCAGCACTAAAATACCAAGTCACCCTTTCTTAGTGTTTTAAACCTGAAACCAGTGCACACTGGACATACTGCCAATCTGTGTGTGAAGCAATCCCCACTGCCACCTCCTGAAATACTCTCAAACATTTTTAAGTGGGCTCAGATACAGACTACTGTTGAAGAGCTTCCAGCATTAAGTTTCTCTGTATAGACCTCAACAGATAAATGGCTTTCCTTGCATTCCTAGCTATTAAAATATTGATGAGGATTAAAAATTTTTCTGCAGCATCCTCAGATCCAGAAGAAATCCCAGTATATCAAGTATCTTTGCTGTGATGATGTAAGAACACTACACCAATGGATCAATGGCATCCGCATTGCTAAGGTAACCTCCTCTGGGCAGTCTTGTACTGTTGTCATTAGTTGTTGTCATTAAGTGTTTGAAACCATTTACAGTTACTTAGCAAAATACATGCTAAATATAACTTCCCTCTGTTTTATTCTGAACATGAACTGTACAATCTTCTTATATATTTCATTCCCTAGCAAAATTGTTAGGTTTTGTTGTTATGATAATTCAGTAATTGGTCCCTTTCTTCTTGTTTCTGCTGCACCTCTGTCAGATGATGAATTTCTAACTGACATTATGGCTAGATTTTAGCCAGCTCCCATACAGATTTTAAAAAGAAGTCTTATGGGAAAAAAGAATTGAGAACACAGAATTGTGTTCCAAGATCCCCAGGTTGGCTTAGTTTATACATTGGCCCATTTCTGGCTTGATGCTATCTCTTCTAGCATAAGTAAACTCTTCTTCTTTCTTTCAGCAATTGACTAATAAAAAAATCAATGTTGCCTGAGGTTCTTAACAAAGAGCCCGTTGTTTCTCTCAGGGAGTGGGGAAAGGTGGCATAGATAAGCCCAAGGTGGAGCTCAACAGTCTGAAAAGGGTACACAACCTATACAGTTGTTAAATTTGTCATTTTGCTTAGTATGGGAAGCAACTATACGTGAACTATCAGGAAGCATTGAAGAGAACGGAATCGGCATATGACTGGACTTCTTTGTCTAGCTCCAGTATGAAGTCAGGCTCCAGCTCATCTAGTTTGCCAGGTAATATGTGATCTGTCTCATAATAGAAAGATTTAATTACCTTAATTAAGATTTAATTACCTCTGCTATCTGGAGACCTCAGGAGAGACTATTGCAGGAAATGGACTGTTTCTCCGAAGTCTTTTATCTTATGTTTAAGTCTGAAACATAGACTTTATGTTTAACACACATACATACATACATATATATCTATATATATAAAAATTACTATATTACTTGCAGTGGTGTAGGTATTTGGAACATATAGTACTTTCTTGTTCACCTCCAAAAATGAATGTTTTTCTGATACTGAGAAGAGGAAACTTCCTTTCAAATTCCTGATGCCTCTATCTTCACCTATTTGAAAAAAGAAATCAAATAGATGTTTTAATGATGCATAGAGACTTGTGTGTGTAGCTCTTAAACTGTTTTTGTTGACTGAAATATTTGAAATTGGAAAATGAGAAATAGTCATTCTCTGCCCAAAGGCGAAGATCCAATGTCTTTAGAGTCAAATTTTTAAAATACTGTTTCTGTTCCTGTGTCAAACTGTGCCCGCAGTAATATGCTCCTGTTTACCTCTCAGCAGGACTGAGACTGTTTTTTTGTAGCACATAACAGTTTAAAAATGGATGAATGGTTTATATAGTCTCATTTCACTGTTCAGAGCTGACTGACACTTTGCCAAGTTACTCTGAACCCTCAGGGGCAAGTTTCATTATTGAAAACAGGCTATTGTGTGAAAGTGTTTTGTCCAGTTGTGCTGGGAAGGAGTGCTGGAGAGAGCAGGCTGCATGCATTGCATGAAATGGGGCTTTTCCCAAAGTGTGGGGAAGTTTTTACTTTGCAGCCTATCTGACACGCTGTCATCTTTGTGGAGTTTCAGATTTGATTAATACCAGGGATCTGTTTCACTGTTTTGTTTTCCAAACAGCAACGGCCTGGATGTGAGCTAGAGCTTACGCAATAGTTAGTGGGAACAATGTCGGTGGCACAACATGTTTAACAAGTGTCACCAATAAATGTCACGCAGTTGCATTATAAGCACGCCAGCTTTACTTTTGCATTCAGAAACATATGCTAACTGTTTTTTAACTTTCTTCTAAACAGAATCTCAATCAAATCATTCTAATCAGTCTGACAGTGGAGTTTCTGACACCCAGCCAGCTGGTCATGTCCGTTCCCAAAGTATTGTCACCTCCATGTTCTCCGAGGCCTGGAAACGAGGCACTCAACTGGAGGAGTCCAGCAAGGTAACAAGAAGACTTTAGCTTGAGAACCAATGGCCAACAAAACATATGAGACAGTGATACCTCTTCCACCTCTGTCTTGAGCGGGTTTTCTTCTCTTTTTTACACTATGCTATTGATGTGCACTGCCATATAATTGTTTTTGCAGGAATCACTTTTTCAGGGAATTCTGAAACTTTCTGTTCTTGCTTTTATTTTTGTGCACAGAAGCCCTCTGTTCTTTGAAGGCATGATACAGCCCTTGCCATAGAGTCCTAGTAACTAATGTTGAATAAAGACAAAATAAAAAGATCGGCTGTTAACAAGTTGAATGAAATTCTTTCACTAAGATCTTATTTCACCAGATAACTAGCCACATGTTTCCATTGTAAAGATGTGAATAACTGAGACCTGAAGGCAGGTGTATCTATCTAAGAAGTACTCCAGTAGTTATTACTCAAATGTTTTCTATTACATTCGGTGGAAATGGAAACAGTAACCATAGGTATGGTTAAAGCAAAAGTACTAAAATTGACAGCAACTGTGGATTGAGGCAGGTTTGGTATCTCCTGTTGCTGGTCAAGGGTTACAAAAGATTTTAGCCCATTGAAGCCTGGGGCTCAGGTCTGTTGTGGTTTGGTTAGTTTTCTGTCCTTTCTGTTGTAGTTGCCTGGTGTAGTTCCTGGGCGATACTTCCAAACACAGCAGGATTACCACTTAAGCCGGTTTGTTGTCAGGCTCAGAACTTCCAGGTTCCTGAACAGCCATCACATCAGTATTAACTGCAGCAGCTACATGTGGAAGTACATTAGCAGGATGCTATGAGAAGCTGTCTTCACTCCTGTCAATTTTGAATCTTTCCCAGACCCCAGGTTCAAGCTAGAGAAGCAAGCTTCTTGAAAGTAAAACCACGGGTCACTACACCTGACATTGGTGTATCAAATAAATAACTAAAAAGATACACAACATCACATTTTCAAATAAGAAAGCACATGTGGCACAATGTGAAAACTGACATGGCTGCATTCTTTGGGATTCGTAACTTTTTTGCAGTGCCTGCTGGCTTGGAAATTGTCTGATTCTAATAGTAATGTAGTACTCAGCCCAGAAATGTAGCCTGCTAAATTGTGATCCAATTTTTCTACTGCATGAGTGCAACACCTGGTGCATGTTCATCAGCAGATGGCTTGTGTATGTGTGCAGGGTGCATCATTTCTGCAGGAGTGGGGTGGATGCAAAAGATAGGGCACTTGAGTCTGTCTAGCATGTATCTGACGGAGGTGAGAGAGTACTGCTATGAGAACTGTAATGTTATTGTTTCCTAAAGTTTTGATTTTAATGTGAAAAATCTTGCTGCTACACTTTCTGTAAGCTTTTAGAGAAAGGTTTGAAGTTTACCACAACGGGGTCACAGTTGTTCTTATCAAGTCCATACTGCTGCTGGCAATTGCTTGTTTAAATAAACCCCAAGAATGTTTGTGTTACCTGACTAAAGCCATTTTAAAATTAAATATTCAGACTGCTCCCTGTTGAGGGCCATCCATGTTTCAAGATTTCATCAATTTGAATTCCTTTCTATGCACAAATCCAAGAAAAAGTATGTTTCTCTTCCTTGTGAGTAACACAGGTGAATGGATTGCCTTAAAATTTCCAGTGAATCCAAATTAAATGAACAGTGTAAAATTATAATTTGAAGCCATGCTACAAAGTTCTGAGTAAATTGGTGAAAAAATTACCTTCAGTTAAACTACAGTACATGCTTTTTTGTCCTGTACAGGTCTGGCCCAAGGAACTTAAATAACTAATAAATCAAACTGACAGTGGAAGATGTTAAGCTGTGTGGCATGAAAGGAAATAACAGTGTTGAAAAAAAATTGTAACTTACATGAAAAGTAGTTGCCGTTGCAGTGATACTGGGACGTGCTGGTTTAGGCAGATTAGTCTCCAAACAGTTACTTTCACAGTGCTTTGGTCACTCCTTGTCACCCTTGTCTCATCCCCCTCAGCAAGCAGGGCGGAACAGAGCATGCTTTGGCTCGGCAGGGAGATGACATTGAGGCTGGCCAGCCTCAGAATGTTGCACTGGTTGGCCAGTGGCTGACTGCTCAATGAGTTAAAAATGGGTGAGTTCTGCCTGCTTTTCCCTCATTTACCAGGTGCCAGTAACTTCACAACAGTTACCTAAAGTTGAAAATATATTGAGGTTTCTAGCAGTCTGTTATATTTGCTAACCAATCCAAAAGCAACTGGTATAGGAAAAAGGATGGCAAACAGTTCAATTGCAAAAGCTTGTTTTCTTAGTAAAAAAAGCTAAAAAACAACAAAAAAAGCACAGTTATTTTAAAAAATAGCTACTGTTCTCTTTGTAGTATTCCTGAGAGTTCCAGATAGTCATGAAGATGCATGTTACAAACATGAATTGATAGTATGCAATAAGTAATTTTTCAAGATACACAGAAGGACATCACATAGTTATAAGGACGAAAAAGGACAATGATGTGGTTCAAGGTTCTTCTATAAACAAAGTATCACTGAATGTGTTTCTGGTTGTGGACATTTAATTTGCTTCTGTGGAGATTGGAGGGGCTCCCCCTCCTCAGATGCACAATAGTCTTTTCCTTGTGCTGAGTATTTAATTAGATCACTGTGAAAATTAGTGTCTTCAGTGGATATGAGGAAAAATCCTCTCTGTTTCAAATATATCTAAGATTAAAAACCCCACCTTTCCCAAAATGCAGGTGATCTGTCCATATTTTGAAAGATTGCTGTTTGCCCAAAGAATACCTTATTCATCTGTTCACGTTCTTCACAGTTGCCAGTGCAGATCTCATTATGTCTCATTTTGCTTGTTAGATTTTGAACACGCTATTTCGAATGGGATGCTACAACAGGCATCAAAATGTGTGCTCGCTGTGTGTGCTTTAAGTGACAAATTCAAGATGCTCCAAGGTCTTGCCATTCAGGGACAGCTGTTCTGTTATGCCTTGGTCTCCCTCTCTGTCTGTTTTATGCCGCTTTTATTTTTCCTGTTGCCTTCTGCTGTCTCAGGTGTCAAAAGTGAAGGTCAGCACACCCGTGGTGCCTTATACAGGGCACAATTAAGGTCAGGTGGTGCTACTTGAAAATTCATTAACCTGGGTGATTGGGAGAGTGGTAATTTATAGACTAACACTTGCAAGAGATCAAGATTTCTCTCCTGTTTTGTTATGTGAACGCTTTGATTTAGCTCCAGAACTTTTGCCTTCTAAACTTAGTGTAACCGGTAGAGGCACACCCCGTGTGTTATAAATCGCTGTTTGTTTCTGACTCTAATCCTTTTGGTGGTGTTCTGCACATATAGAAGCTCTGTGCACCTGTATTTAGAACAAAGCAATATGCAAGCCTGCTCATGCAGTGCAAATGAGCATAATTGGGCTAACTTGTGGCAAAGTAATAATGAAGTATAGGTACCCAGGGTGGTGAGTTGCCATGTTGGCATTGCATTTCTAATGCATGTTTCTATGCTGTGGACTGTGAAATTCACAACTTGGCTTGTAGCAAAACAACTTTGTATTAGGAGGATGTTTGTAAACTTGAGTAATGCAATTATCTTTTTAATTTTTAACAGGAACATAGGCTTACAATTTTAGAGAAGCAATTTAACTTGAGCAAAAGCCGACAAGCAGACTAAAACATTGCCTGCTGCTTTCCCATTGCTCCTTCCCTTAGTCAGTTTTTCTCTGTCTTTCCTTTTTTTTCCTGTTTAATATAATAGTTGCATGTATAGCTTTCCTTTCCCAAGCTAACTTTCTTTTGTAGATCTCTTCTCATCAAAAGATCTCATTTCCTTGTGGGGAAATTTTCCTAGGAAATCTCAATTCTCCATCTTTTTCCTCATTTTTTTTCCTTGCCAGTCTTGGACATCAGAGCATGTGGAGTGGAAGGATCTTGGTATTCCTGCATAGAGCTTCCTCTTCATGTGTTTTAGAGCAGTTCAGGATTTCTGCATTTTGTAACGCTGAACAGTGTAAGGCCTGAGCTAACCCACGTAAAGGCTTGACAGATGCTCTGGGACGCCACGTATGCTTTAACTCTAGTTGTAAAGAGCTGAGGAGATGTCGGCAGAGTCTCTTGCTCTGCCTGATGCCCTCTGTCATGGCCTGTGGTGCTTTGGGGGTGCTGTTTGGGGTCGTTACACTTGCCCAGAGGAGGACCAGTGATTCTCACTGGGTACAGGGTCCTGCCCCACAAAAGTGACAAGGCTGGTGTATTTTCTCCATGACATTCAACTTAGCTTGGAGCAGACCTGGCCCCACCAATTCTTGCCAGCCCCCCTCCCTGCCTGCCCAGTCAGACTGCACGGTCCGGGCTTGTCAGCATACAGGGCTGTCTCTTGCTGTGTTGTTTTGCTAATACTTCCTGCATGCTGTAATCTGCTGCTTAATTTTAATGACAGGCACGTTTAGACCTTGACTTTATAATATCTTTGTCTCCTTCCCTCCCTCCCTTCCTCCCTCCCTCTCTATCTTTCTTTTTCTCCCTTTCCACTTTCACTAAAAATCCCTTCCCAATAGGCCCGAATGGAGCCTGCAGGTCGGCCCTTCGTGTCTGTCACACCTCCTGTGTCCCCGCAGACAAAAGCGGCGACACCCTACACAGCATCGCAGCCCTCCCCACCGCTG